CCGCCTTTCTCCTCCCATTGCCAGGGGAATGGTCCAGGAGCGCCGGGCGTGAGCCTCCCCGCTGGTCCAGCCGGAGACTGCGGTTGTCATTGATCCATTGAAGAAGCAGGACCCGAAACTACTGGCATTAGGTACCAAAGCTGTATTTGAGTTACATGGCTCCCCTACCGCTTTATTTATTTATTTTTTTAACTCCCTCCCCACCCCGGCCCCACCCCGCCCCCAGGGAAGATGAGATGCAAATTCCTCCTTGCCAATTACTGCTCTGTACCTTTTGCTTTCCACCGGACTCCCATCCCTCCTCCTCTTTCCCTACTGCCTCCCGACTTGGTTCCCTCCTGTTGGGCAGAATGAAGAATGTTAAGTGTGGAAACGATGAAGTCAACTTCTTCAGGGGGTGGGGGTGTGGCCGAGAGATAACTGTCCAGCTCTGTGAGATGATCTGGCTCTTTGGCCAGCTGTAGAGGCACTGGGGTAAAGAAAGTGCAAAATGCTTCCCTTAGAGGTGATGGTATTATTTCCCGAGGACAGGGGATTTCAAAGGGTTAAATAGGAGGAGGAATATTCATATAACGTAATCAGACAATAGCTAGGATTTCTCTCAAGGAATTACTTTTGTGTGTGTGTTAACTGAGATGGAGCTGGGTTAGTTCTTAAAACTCAATCTTTGCAAAAGAAACTGACTACCAAAGATAATTTCATCTTTGCCTCTACTAAGGTTTAAATCCTAGTGATCTGCCTGAATAAAGTGATTCACTGACAGGAAGAAAAAACACCTTTTGTAGCACTATTACATCTGTATAGGTATTGCTTACATGGTATATATTGCTAAGAAACACATTGGATCTTGAAGCTTTTGAGTACTGACTCCAGTGGGCATTCAAACTTTTATTTTGAAATCTGGGAGATTTAGGAGACAGTCAAGGTTATGTGCTAAGAATAAGGGAGTTGGTTTTCCTTGTATAAAATTATTCAAGCTAAACTTATTCACTGGGATAATTAAACCAACCAACTTTATTATTATTGTTTTTTCTTTTTAAAATAAAATAATCTCTACTAGGTCTTGAGACCTTCAGTAATTTAATGAACAAGGCATAAACATCTAGAAGAGAATAACATAATTCATGTATCCAATTGACTTTGGAGAGGAGGAGATGAAAAGGCAAATATCAAAGCAAAGTGTTAGTAATCCCTTCCTGGTTTTTCAGGAATTATGCTATGCAAGGCAGTTGTAATCTTGAAAATTATCAGAAAAGTTAGAAGTGGTATATGAAGATGAAATGTACTAGAGGTTGAATGACCATAGACTTCTGGATTGCCAAGTTGCTTCAGATGTCATCTATTCTATGAGATGGTGTTTAACTCTTACACTGAATATCTATTTTTAATTGCTTTTAATACCTAAAATGTGCATTTAAGAAATAGGTTATATTATATTTTAAGGATTATACAAATATTTTGTAACTTATGTTAGAATCTGAGTTCTATTGCAAGTAGCTAAAGTAGTTCATGAAAGTGCCTTATTTTTTTATAGAAACATCATTGAGACCTTCAGTAATTTAATGAACAAGGCATAAACATCTAGAAGAGAATAACATAATTCATGTATCCAATTGACTTTGGAGAGGAGGAGATGAAAAGGCAAATATCAAAGCAAAGTGTTAGTAATCCCTTCCTGGTTTTTCAGGAATTATGCTATGCAAGGCAGTTGTAATCTTGAAAATTATCAGAAAAGTTAGAAGTGGTATATGAAGATGAAATGTACTAGAGGTTGAATGACCATAGACTTCTGGATTGCCAAGTTGCTTCAGATGTCATCTATTCTATGAGATGGTGTTTAACTCTTACACTGAATATCTATTTTTAATTGCTTTTAATACCTAAAATGTGCATTTAAGAAATAGGTTATATTATATTTTAAGGATTATACAAATATTTTGTAACTTATGTTAGAATCTGAGTTCTATTGCAAGTAGCTAAAGTAGTTCATGAAAGTGCCTTATTTTTTTATAAAAACACCCCCCCCCCCTCTCCTTCCCCCCCCCCCCCCCCCCCCCAGTTTTGTTGAGAAGAGTTCAGATGTACTTATTTGGGTTGACTGCTGGTTAAGAAAAGCAGCATTTATTTATCTTATTTCCTAACTAAATTTTGCATAGTTTGATTTTTTAAATTGAATGTGGAGAGTTCAGAGTACCCAATGAAATTAAATCTTTAGGCATGGAAATATAATGAATCAAAAACCAAAATATTCTTTCTGAAAAGATGAATGTTGGTCACTTTATAATAAAAAGAAATACTTGAATTTATAAAAGCCTTTATTATCTTACTGTGTAATCTCAGTTAGGTATACCAGCAGAGCTTTAGAACACCTTTTTAAAAGCATAGATTATTAACCCTACTTTACAGAAGTTTTGACAGGTGAAGTGACTTTCCCTGGTTCACATGCTACAGGAGTGAAATTGAATCCAGTTCTCTTGAGTGAAGATTTAATAGACTTTCCAAAGTCCCCAAGGTGCTTCTTCTCATCATAGCATCTTTGGACTTAATCAAAGACCAGCTTTTATAGCTATCTAAGAGCCTGGTGACAAGCCTTTGTTAGAATTAGGGTAGTATACTCAGGAGAAAATTATAACGAAGTTAATCAATGAAGTTATATTTTTCCTTGGAATTTAAAGTTGTTGTAAGTAATTCTGAGTGAAGATAGGCTAGTGGCTTTCTTTCAAGAAAGATATAATTTAAAATACAGATTTAATAATGTTTAAGTAATCCTAAAATTTAAACCTTGCAAGTGTTTTGATACAAATTGTCACAATGCTACCATTTTCTCTTCCAGTATTTTGTTGTAACCGTACATGACAAACAAACAAACAAACAAACAAAAAACACACAAAAAATTCTACATTGGCTGCTGGTAATGATTTCCCAGAATGACACAGCTGTGTGTATGTCATGCATGGCAAGTAAACTAATCGTTTTAAATATTCAAATGTTTTGGAACACTTTTTTTGTTTTTGCAATTTCCTTTCAATCAATGTAAAGAAAATTTGTAAATTTAGGAGTCTCTTTTTATTCCATCTTTGTGATAGTGTTTGAATAAAATGCAAAATAAAAAAAATACAAATATTTTATTTTCATCATTGAGTATTTAACAATAGTAACAATGTGTGTGTGTGTGTGTGTGTGTGTGTGCCTCTGTGCACACAGCACACATGTGTGCATTAATACATCCTGTGTATCTACCCTATTATTTATTTTAGGGTGAATAAGAAATTGAACAAGTCAAATTCTTACATACAGGTAGCCCAGTGTTTTGAATGATAAGCAATAATTCCAAGCATTATCTTGAATTATTCTAAAAATCACCCTCCTTAAAATTTTTACATAGGGTAGCAGTGGCAAAAGTACTTTTATCTTTCTGAAAGTTTCTCCTAGTTTTCAGTGAGCCCTGACCAAATCATTTACAGATAACTGAATTTCTCTCCTCAATAACTCAATTTATAGAAAGAATTACATAAAAAATAATTAACTATTGAACTGTTAAGTCTTGACATTTTATTTGAAAATATCATCATAAACATTTTCCCCAAGGACAGGAATATGTAAGCAGAAAAATGAATTGACCTTGCATTATAAAACCAAAGAATGCTTCAGGATCAACGGCCAAACCAGCCTTTCCACAATCAGCCTTCTACAAAACCAAGCCCTCTAATTAATAGCTCCTGGCCTCAGGACAACAGCTGAAGCTGAGATGTGTTTGATTCTTTTAAAAATATAAGACAGAGCATAATTGAGAAAACAAGATCATTTCTGATTATTAAAATGCCACACAATAGATCAATGTTGCATCCTAATGTCTGTGTTGTCTATTTTAAAATAAATAAATAATTTTTTTTTAAATATCCTGTGCAGTTAATTTATTTCATGACTGGTAGCCTCTAATTAGCAGCTGAGATGTGAAGTTACTGCATTGGCTAATGTAATTCATGGTATCTGTTTTGTGGATTATTCAAAAGTGTTAGTTTGTATTGTTTGGATGAAAACCAGACAATGCAGCTCACAGGAAACAAAGGAATCTTTAGTGCAATTAGTAGTATATTAACCTAAACAAATGTATGTGCCTCAGTCTATTTCATAAAGCTTATATTTAATTCAGTCACTTTACCATGTAGTCTCCTGCAGGAATTTAGGGAGAGAGCATGTGAAAATAATAAAATGGGAGTTTTGAAGTAAAAAAGTTTTAAATTGGTATGAAAAAAAAGTTGATAAAATAAAAAAGTAAAAACTGTTAATTGTATAAACAGAATACTCTCTTATTTGTAAATTTTCCTGAATAAAAGAGTGAACATTAATTCATTGAATTACTTAAGTCATTTAAAAATAATTTACTGCCCACCCATTAAGGGGCAGACCCTGCTTGTTGTTAACAATATAACAAATAAAGATAACATGGAGGTATTAGCAATAAGGGATTTGTAAATTTATAGGGGAAGAAAGGTGACCAATTAATAAATGTAGTAACATGTTACTATAAATTGAATTAGGTGGAATAAATCATGAAAAAATAATCACTTTTCCTTGAGATCAAAATATTTAGTTTGCTTGGAATAAGGGAAAAAGAGACAATTAGGCTAAGGAGCTGCAAAGCATTTGCTGGGTTGAGGCCTGGGCAGCATTATTGGAAAACATTTCTTTACTGAACTTCCCTCCCCTTTACTTTCTTTAAGCAATGATGTGTGAAGTGATGCCCACGATTAATGAGGACACCCCAATGAGCCAAAGGGGGTCCCAAAGCAGTGGCTCGGACTCAGACTCCCATTTTGAGCAGCTGATGGTGAATATGCTTGATGAAAGGGACCGTCTTCTAGACACCCTACGGGAGACCCAAGAAAGTCTTTCACTTGCCCAGCAAAGACTGCAGGATGTCATCTACGACAGAGATTCGCTCCAGAGACAGCTCAACTCAGCCCTGCCACAGGTATGCTTCCTGGTAGCATTTATCTTTCCAACTGCAATTGAAAATATGATAAAACTTAAGTAAGCTTTGTTTTATTTCCATTCTTATAATTACATTTCCCTTTATAATATATGGTATGCATGTTTTGGTGAGAAACAAATTAAGAATCAATAATAGTTCACATAAAACCTTGCCTCAAAGAAAATTGTGGTATGTTGGTGATGGGAAGTGTGAAGCATGAGTTTCTATTTGGTCTTTTCTTTTTTCTTTTAAAATTTAATCTGTATGTTTTGGTGGGGGTGGAAAAATCACCTGTTGATCACCAGAATATGGGAACAGTTGATTTCTCTTTCTTGCTTTTTAAACACAATCATGACATTTGGAAGTATGTACTTTCCGTTTTTAGTTGTGTGTTCTATCTTTGGAAGTGATAATAGTCTGGAAAACTACTGTCTAATTATTTTTATGTAGACAGTGTTAGGAATATTTCTTTAAAAATGCCTAACACCTGCTTAAAAATTCTGGGAGTTACTGATGTATTGCCTTCTCCACTCAAAAACATTTCAACCAGTTTCTTTTAATAAACTATTTTGGAAAGTAGAAAAAGAGCAAAAGTTCAGCACCATTCTCACAAACTTAAAATTGTTAGACGAGTTATTTTTTTAGAATATTTTTGTGAAGAATATCATTTCATAAAAAAATAATATAAAATTTTAAGGATTTCCAGATTATTTATATACAAAGTTAGTAATGAAAGTTAATTTTCTTATTTAAGAGTAGCATACTTTTTTTATTTGAGGTATGGAAAAAAAGCTAAGAAAATGAACAAGATTTTTAATAATAACTTCCAATATATACTCTATTGTTTTGTAAAATATACAAAAAACCCTAACCGGTCTGGTTTAGTTGATAGAGCATCAGCCTGCAGACTCAAGGGTCCCAGGTTCGATTCTGGTCAAGGACATGTACCTTGGTTGTGGGCACATCCCCAGTGGGGAGTGTGCAGGAGGCAGCTGATTGATGTTTCTAGAGATCCCTCTCCCTTCCTCTCTGTAAAAAATCAATAAAGTATATTTAAAAAAATATATATATATATATACAAAAAATTGGTCCTCTTCTTTACATACAATATAGCAAATGTTGAAGAGTTTACTTCTATCTGTGAAATTGTATCTTGTAAATATTATGCTTTCATAAATATTAAAATGTATATAATGAAAGTTGATGAAATTCTAAATCCAGCTGTATTATTAACTTACACTGTGGTGTTGAGGTACTGATGACTATCAGAATGGAAAGGACCACCTAGAAACTTTTTTCACACCCCCATTAGGTAATCCCATAACTCTATATGGATAACTCGTGTCCTAGTTCTTTTCATTTTCAGCCAGCTTGTCTTGTTTTGAGATATAATAATATTTCCAGTAACTCTCACCTGTAGGTACACTGGTGTGTCTAATTACACAGAATGAGTTGATTCATTTCAAAAACTTCATCAATAATTTTATTCTTAAAGCTAGACATTTCAGGCTTTGCAATTGTTCTTCATAAGGTAATTTCTAGAGTGATCACATCATGTTTACTCCTCACTAGGATTATTTGAGTTGGTCAATGCTGCTATTAAAGGGTGGTCTCTGAACCAAACATATTATTCATTACCTTCTGTGACAAGCATAGAATGGGACAATCATTTCTCTTTCTGGGTAGAGTGTTTCATTATCAGAAGCATAGGACTGTATTATATTTGGGAGCAGCTTCAACATACTTTCAGTATGTCCTGGGACAGTAGTCAACTTATAACTGAGTTGCATAAGTGTTACCTGTGTTACCATTTTCCCTACTCTTCTTGGAAGTTAACTCTTTGGTCCTAAGTGTAAGAATATGCATGTATCCCTCCTACATTTATCTTTTCATATTTTATTCAAGCCTGATGATGTTGATTTGGATCCTGACCCTATCAAACTGATTCTAAGAATAATTTGGGTTTTTGAATTTTTTTCTCTATCTTTACAAAAATGAGTGATTATTTCATAAGGATGATGAAGATAGAAAGTACTAGAACAAGATATTTTTGGGGGGAAAAGAAAAAAAACTGGAAATGTTTTCATCATAATAATATTGTATAGATAAATCTATTTTTAAAGGTATAAGAATGAAAAATTTTAATTCTAGAAATTCACTTGTGATGAATATCTGGTTTATAACATGACCTAAAATTTCAAGTTTTGAATTTTAGTTAATCTCTTATCCAAACACTTTGGGGCCAGGTGTTTTAGAATTCAGAATTTTCCTTAGTGTTTCGTATATATGTAATAAATATTATGAAATACTTCTGCAGATGGATTCTGGATAGAATCCCATAAATTTACATTTACATATCTGAAGATAATTCTATGAATAGTTCTATTGTATGGAAAAATAACTATAAATGTCTCATGTTAGTACAGGCCTGGTTTTGCCACCAATCAAGGTTGCAACACACAACAAAATATCAGTTTATAGAGTGTAGGTTCGGGAATTATATACTAGGCATTATGAACCTGTACATTTAGATGCACATAGTTTCAATCTGTTCTACAAATACTTTGACACATTTCTTCAATATTGTTTTGTAGTTTACAATTATAAATATCAAATACTCCTAGTAATCCACAGGTTCTTAAGTGATAGTCCTGTCATTTTAGTAACCTACTCTGTACCTTAAGGGCTATAGTTTTCTGTAAGTAAACTATAGTATTCTTCTTTAATTGTTATCTTTGAATCTTTTTCAATATTTTGTAAGCGGTGTACTTGCACTGTTTGGTGGCACTGCACTTTACATTTATCTTGATGGAGAAAATGATTACCATAAATGTGAGTTTTAAGGCAGAAATAAAGCATGTAAAATTGAAAATTACTATAAATACATCAAATGAAAATTATTTTAGCAAATATGGGAGAGAATTCAAAGCAGAGTCAAACTTTATGACACATCATCATAAAAATTGCCTATCTAATACTTTTAGATATTGACGAGTTGGTGTTTTGCTTTAGTTACTTTCTCTCTTATCATTCTTTTATGAACAATGCATCAGTGATTAGTTCTTCACTATATGAGTGGGTATAAATGTGTTTAAATAGTAATCATAATTTTAAATTATTCCACATCTCCAGGCCTGATGTTTCTTAACTACTCACTCAATTTTTTACCTCGCACAGATCCATGTACATGTTCCACAGAACCTCAGATTCTATGTGCCTCAAACTCAGTCATCATCTGTCTCCCACTCCTCAACCTAATCTGCTTGAATTCCTCACCCAGACACCTAAGAATCCTCATAGATGAAGTCTTCTCCCTCATCTCTGAATTTAGACCTCTTTGGGACATACTGTTTTTAATCTCTTAAGTAATTCTCAAATCTCTCTGTATTTTCTGGTTTTCTGCAGCTGACTCACTTCTTATCCTAGCCTAGCCTTTATATATTGCCAGAAGCCTTCTCTGAATGCCCAAGTATATTTCCTTTGTGTTCCTTACCCTTATCATTTAGCGTATTATCATTAAGATATCTGATTAGGTGGCTAGATTGTAGGCTCCTTGAGAACAGGCACACATGTCAATCATCTACAACCCTCTCAACCAGTTAGAGTAACAGAAGTAAGGACTTTCAAGGTAAAACTAGAACTAAATGTACATGGTTTAATATAGAGAGAGCAATACATTTGAAATGGGAAGATTTGGTTTGTATTGTGACTCTACCATACATCATAAATTTGAGTCAGGACTTCAGATTTCCATACTACAAAAAGTGGTTAATACAAATACCTCACATGATAGTTTATGATGATTAAAGAAAAGAATGTAAGTAATAATGTAAGTAAAAATTAATTAATTTGTAAAGCATTATATAAAAAATGGTTGTATTTGTTTTATCCAGAATGCCTAAAGATAAACTAATTTCTACATATGTATGCCAATGAGCATTAGAACAACTTACTAGGAATATTGATAAAATAAACAGCCTAACATTTTTGAAATCAGAATAAATATTTGTTAATTACTAATATGCTTATTAAGAATATTTAAAGAAAAATTAAAGACAGTGAGATTTTAAAAAAAATATATTTTATTGATTTTTTTTACAGAGAGGAAGGGAGAGGGATAGTTAGAAACATCGATGAGAGAGAAACATCTATCAGCTGCTTCCTGCACACTCCCTACTGGGGATGTGCCCACAACCAAGGTACATGCCCTTGACTGGAATCAAACCTGGGACACTTCAGTCCACAGGCTGATGCTCTATCCACTGAGCCAAACCAGTTAAGGTGACAGTGAGATTTCTATTGCAAAAAATCTACACTAATAAAAGAGAAAGATACAAATTGACCGTACCTTCGCAATGCCCACCAGCCAATCAGGAGTGAGCATGCAAATTAACCCAACAAAGATGGCAGGTTAATTTGCATACACAGTCACCGAGCGGCCAGGGGCAGGTTGGGACGCCATGGTGACGACGCAGGCGTTCCGCCCCGCCCCAGTGGCTCCGGGCCTCTGGGCAGTGGGAAGGCGGAAAGGTGGCTCCAGGCTGGAATGAAGGCAGTGCCGGCAGCCAGGGGAAGGAAGGTCCATTCTTGCATGAATCTTTGTGCATCGGGCCTCTAGTCATATATAAAAGTTTAAAATTCATTTTTATCATTTTATTTAGCATTTATTGAGGGCCTTCTGTATATTATTAAATGGTTACATATATTTGTAAAGGGATAGAAAAAAAGGAATATAATTTGGCTCCCAGAGAATTTAGGGAATAGAGTTGCTTAGCAAAAATATATAAGTGGATCAAAATTAATATGGTAAAAGATTATAGAAGTACTGAAAATATTTGAGATATAATATTGATTGTGATTAACTGCAGAAAGTTTCATGTGGAAAGCAACTTTAGAGAGTTATTTTTAGGAAAAGGTTGGAAATAACTCGGGTATTCCATGTGAAGGAGTAAAGTTTTGCATAAGCTTCTGTTAAGAACATTTGGGGGATAGAAATTCAG